CAATTTGTCTTGCAAACGCAAATTGAATGTTTCCTGAGGCAGAGATGTTCCAGCAGATGTGTGGGTCTGGAGCTGCTGGAAATAATGGTGACTAAGTCATCGGCAAATGAGTTATAGGAGAAGCCATGGCCACAGATAAGATTCCAAGTAGTGCTGAAAGTAAGAATCAGCCCCGGAGGGAACTAAGGGTAACATCGACATGTAAGGTGCAGGCAGAAGAGGTACCCATGGAGAAAATTCTGAACTTACTTTGGTTTAATATTTCAAGATACAGAGAAAGGTACTGAATCTTGAATACTTATTTTAAGATGACCAAATCTGCCTTGGAAATTAATATTTTACCTAAACTTTTCTGCCCCTATCAGATATTTACAAGCAGAATTTGCGTTTTGGGACTTTCTGACAAAACCAATAAAGTACATATGGTGAATATATAAAAGACTGACAAGATCATATCAACTCAAAGAAACTGAAGAAATTCGAAGATGGAACCTCAAAAAAAAAAAGAATTCAATATAACTTACTTAATTTTAAAAGGTCTTAGGACTAATGGCTTGCCAACATGACATGCATTTATAAGAACGGGCCAGTGACCTACAATGAAAAATCTTAACTAAAATTAGAGAACTGATAAAAAGCATAGGTCTCAACATATAAGAAAATAAAACCTATTTAGAAAAGGCAGTGTGGTTTTAGTAGAGTAAAATCCTGTCTCAATAACCCAAGTGCATTCTTTGAATCAGTCTGTAAATATAGGGTAAAAACATTTTTACCTTATAGAAAGTCATTAGAAAATTTTGCACCAAAGAGGCCATTTTGTAGTGGGAACGGAAAATCATCTGAAACTTGAAACACTTGGTCCTGAATTTATGAACTGTGTGACTGCCCTGGGAGCTGAAAGAGCCTAAAAGTATAAAGAAACGATCCTAAGGGCTTCTAATTCCTGGATGACTGATAAATAATGGGCTCTTGGAGAACTTTTGGAAGATCCACCCTCGATCTTGCTAAATTCTCTTGTCACTAATTATTTGTTCTATAAACACTGTGATTTCACTATAAAAGAAAATCAGCCCTAAACTAACCACCTTTGGCTGCCAATGTCAGAGAGAGAACATTAGCCTGGGTTAACCACTGACGTGACTAGCATGGCACCTATGTTAGTGTTAAAAAAAAGCCAACAGCAACAACAAATATAGAGCCGAACCACTGACAAATCAGCTGAAGATTTTCTCTATGTATTTGTTTGGAATAGAATGAATATGCAATTAAGGTTTAACTGGAATTCTTTTGAAGTGAATTTTAATGGATTAGGAAGCCTAGAGTTTTAAAACTGTGACCTAAAATAAAAATTACAAAGGAAGAAGTTTTGTGTGCTTGTTTTCAGCTCTATACATTTTAGGCTGGTCTAAAGTACATACTTGAAAGCATCAGAGTTCAATGCATGGTATACTTTCTCTCAGCGTTTCTGAGGAGGTTGGGTCCTGAGGGATACATGATCAGGCCGACAAAGAGCATGCAACATGGTCTACCGAAATTATCTCAAATTAATCTTGCTTATATAAAACAAATTTAACAGAAATAAAAATTTTAATTTACATGAAAAAGTCTGCTAGCAAGTCTGTTTCTGCTGAATATTTCAATCAAGCAAATAAAATTTAAGAATTGTGTGGCTGCTTAGACAGATGCCTTTCTATCAGCCAGGAGACACCCCTTATACTGCTGTCCACAGACTGCAGAAAACCATCTTGTCTGCTTTTGCTTCACAAATTACTTTTATCTCATTTGAATACTGAATCAAAGTAGACACTTCCATTTTCAGAATTTCTTATCTAGTCAGTTTCCCCTGTCTGAGGGTCTTCATGATCAAGAAAAGAATTGTCATGACCCGCTAACGCTGAAGTGATTTAGTCATCATCATTATCAAAACAATGTCTTAAAGCTTATGACTAACAGTAACGGCACCTGCTGTCCTTTGCCAAAGATGTCTGTTTACCAAGCACAGGGTAAAATGCAGCCATCAGTGAGGCTGTTGTGCAGTTTAAAAGATTTGGTGTACATAAAGCCCCTAGCATAGTGCTTGCTATACGACAAAGAGCTCAAAAAACGGCAGTTAGGTTTACTGTCTCATTTCACTCCTTACATCAACCCTGGGAGGTGGTACTGCAGCACTGCAGAGGTGAGAACATGTTGGGCGGGGGGTGGCAGGCTGCCGGCTTGGTGGGATTGAGTCTCCCAACTGACAGCCCACACACAGCACCACCACCACAACTCCCTCTGGTCGTCCCTATGGGAAGCTGTTCAGGACGGAGTCCATGCTGGTTTTAAATCTAGGCTCTACCAGCTGTGAAACAAGTTACTGAAGTGCTTTGGATCTGTTTACTCATCTCAAGGACCCACCTCGGAGGATGATTTTGAATATTAAATAAAGCACAATAAATAACAGCACTCAGTCAGTAAACATTAACTGGACTCCTCCTACTAAGTGACAGGCACTAGTCACAGTTCCCAAATGCATCGGCATGTCAAAATCATCTGGGGAACTCCTAAAAATTCCAACTCCCCGGCCACACTGGAGACCAATTAAATCACAATCCTTGGGCGTCGGATACAGGCATCAGTATCTGTGACACTTCCCAGGTGACTCCACTGTGCAGACAAGCTTGGAAACCACTGTTTTAGGCACTAGGCTCACCTACCTTCCCTGAAAGCACTCCTCGTCTTCTCATGCTACTTTCCTCAACATCTCACACCTAACCCCTCTTTCCGATTCCTACTGGTACTTCTTTAGTTCAGGTCCTCAGAACCTCTCCGTGAACTTGCTAACATGCCCCTCCAAAACCATTTTGTCGGCTCCCACACACAAGCCCAGCTCTGATCCTATCACTCCCATGGGCAGAATCACTGGATTAACTTCCTCTGGCTACCAGCTCCTCAGCCTGGCCTTCACAGTCCTCCATGGAAGGTAGCCCCTCTCCCCAGCCCCTTTCTCCCTACTCCCTGATGCTGCTGATGATCCAAACCAACTGGATAACTCACTTTCCCCAGGCCGACTCCATGTCTTCCAACTGCAAGCAAATTCGCTCTTGAGGACAAGGAAAAATTCCTCAATATTAGACAATCTATGGCCAGATACAAATTAAAATCTTCCCCAATTTAAAACTGTGCTCTTATAAGGCATGGTAACCTTGGTTTTAAGGAGGCTAACATACCTTTCATTTCTTAATTTTATATAATTTCATATTAAACACACAAAAAGGAATTGCTTTTACCTTAATTTAAGGAGTGGTTGGGTCACCCACTTCCTTAACTTCCGTCTCCCAAATGAAGTTCTAGTATGGTCTAAAACCCAAAATAAACTTCCTCTGGTTTCCATGTCAGTCTAAGAAAGACCAGAAAACAAGTTTTATTAACTAGACGATTGTATTTGTACCAAAACCACTAGTTGTTTATACGCCCTAATTATTCCATATACACTAATTTTAAATGTTACATATGCCTAGCATAAAATATAGCTCAAAACAGGTGTTCATTTAATGTCTGATGAATATATATACACACATATATAAACACACAAAGTGTTGATATTTTGCACAGGAAAGATACAGTCTATATGTAGTTTTTAGTTAACTAACAATACGGTATTGAGAAGTTTCTTTTGAAACACCTTATAAATATAACTGTCTTCTTTCCTCCCTTGGGAAGCACAGTGAAGATAATTTGATTTTCCTTTGGCAGTTCAGGATCTCCCACTGCCTAAGAGCTGCCGTTCTAAAGACAGATCCCCCATGTCAACACTGAAAAAGGCTCAGGAGGGAAGTGGACCTGTACTGCACTCTAGGAATGCATCCTGGAAGGGTCTGACTTTAGTCTGTTTTATTAAATCCTTAGCAAAGGTTTATCTGTCTATACTTTGCTACTTTAAAATTAAGCCATAAAAAAATTATAATTAACTAGAATTGTAGTTAATTTTAACCAAGGTTTCACTGTAGTACAAAATGTCTACTAACAGGTTTAAACCGTATTGGGAACATCAAGTTGCAGTTTTCACCTGAATTTTTTTTTTCCATTTTCCTTTTCTTTAAATCAGCAAGCAAGTATTTAACAGAACACCTCTTGTGTGCTTAGCAGTATGGTTGGCAAAGGTATATTAAGACATGATTCCTCCCTAAGGGCGCTTATATCAGAGTGTGGGAGAAGAGACTCCTAACAAGGACCCAGTGCCACCTGGCAGAAATCAACTACAAAAGGTGTGACATAACTTCCCCAGGCCTTAGGAGCCCAAAGAGAGCAGCCACAGAAGCTGCAGTGGTCACGGAAGGAAGGCTCCCTGAGGATGGGCTGGGAAGGCAGAGCTGACCTCTGAGGGGATCCACATCAGTGACTGCACCATCCCTTCTGAGACAAGAGCCTGACTGGCCTGACCACAGAAAGGGTCCATGAAGAGGACGGTGGAGGGGAATCACTCTCCAACTACCTGGCATCACTGGGGAAGCAGGCTCGGACAAGAGAGGGAGAGTGGGAGAGACCCGAGTCCTGCTACATCTCTGCTCTCCCTGACACCCAGACCCTCCCCATGATCCCCTTCTACTGCTCCACAGTAAGGAGGCCAAAGCTGCAGTGCAAAGACAAGCAGAAGATGTTAATTCTCAGCTTCCATTTCTCCAAGAGCCCAAGTCCTGATAAAGAAAGGGATTTTAAAGGGTATTTTGATTATGGATGATTTTTGCCTTAGGCATTTGATTTCAAAACCAAATCCACTGTAGTAGGATTTGAACAGGGAGGATGTGGCAGAAGAAAGGAAAGCCTGAAATGCCAAGGCGGTATCTGCAGGCTTTGACTATAGGCTCTTCTTCACCCAAGAAATATCCTTTTATTCTTACTACTTGTTTCCTAACCCAAGGATGTATATAGAGTTGATGAGAAAGACCTGCCAGGAAAAGACTCTCAACTTCCGGATAACAGAACGACAAGATAAAAATGTTTTTGAATAAACGGAAGGCTGACTCCAGTATGCAAGGACAGCCTAGCAGAAGGAGAAACCGAGTGAGAGAAACTAGCTAGCTATACACAAAGTCAGGAGAATAAATTCAGCATTTACTTTAATTCACAGCAGTGGTAGTAATTCACAGCAGATGGTTCAGCTTTTCCACTACTCAAATGACTTGGAACTGCTTTTTATTTTTATGAGTTTTTTATAAGAACATTAGTTTTACAATACAACATCTCATATTTTTAAGTGATAATTTAATAAATGAAAGCAATCATTTTAATGTCTTCATTATCTTCCTCGCTCATCAGTAAAGGGCAAATGAACAATGATGGAAGTTTGTGAAATGAACTATTATGCATCTAACCTCAAACTGAACATTGCGGTTACTTGTTCTATATACTGAATAATGAAATAAGACTGCAACACTTCAACAAAAAGTTAAAAATATGTAGAAAGAGATAACCAAGCAGACCAGAAAAATCTACTTCACTGAATTCCCAAAGATGATGCCTTTCCAAAGAAATATATGATACAGAAGTTGTCAGAACAGGCATGCTGCTTCAATCATTGAAAAGCACAGCGCTATAGCTCCCAATGTAACCCCCAAGTAAGTATTTCATGTATTTGACTCTCCAAAAAGTGAGCACTATCAGCTGAAGACAACACCTTCACCTTCACTCCTAAGAACAGACTGCTACCTAGCCCCCATCTTTTTTTGAAACCATTTTGAATCAAACAGCCCTATGTTTACCTGACCTGATTCTGAAGGATTTCCAGGTTCCTTAATGTTGTTCCATTAAGTGTCATAAATTCCACTTCTCCTGACAACTGTTTAAAATTCCTGTAAAAAGAATGAAATATGAACCATGATATAAGTGCATAAAGAAATAGGAAAACTAATTTAGGCTTTAGAAATACTTAGTAACATCATGATAAATGTTAGCCCTTTGCTAGGAAATCAAACCAAAAAAAGCAAAAACAACATTCATTAAGATACTGTTTTCCATCATTGCTGGTACTTAGGTAAGCTGACGTGAAAGGACAGTTACTCTCACAACAAAAACAAGAATAAGGAATGGAAGTAACAGTACCAACAATTCTTAATTTTTTTTTTTAATTTCCAGTAACAGGACCAAACATAGTCTTTTATCATTGGCAGAACAAGTGGTGGTCTCTTCAGGAAAAGCTATGCAATTTGCTAGAAAAATATGTCAAGATACTTAAAAGCATCCTTCTTTTTCGTTAGCATGAAGTCATTTTGATAAACACTTTAAAAGCTTTTAATCAATATTCTGATATGTGCAAATATTATTTAGTCTATAATTAAGACCACACATTTAATGTGGCTGTTTTCATAAAGTATAAAACTGAAAAAGTAGCAGGAATTATTTCCTTAAACTCAAATAATTCACTTTCTCCTTATGTCCCTGTAACTATTTCAAACTAGATTAAAAGTTCAGTAAGTTCCAAATAAACTTGAGTCCTGAGCTCAATATGATTAATATATGTATGCATAATTCAAATTTTGTCCTTATTAGTCTTTCATTTTTTTAAACTGAAGTATAGTCAGTTTACAATGTTGTATCAACTTCTGGTGCACAGAATAATGTTTTAGTCATACATAGATACATTCATTTTCATATTCTTTTTCATTATAAGTTACTACAAGATACTGAATATAGTTCCCTGTGCTGTACAGAAGAAACCTGTTCTTTATCTATGGTAGTTAGTACCTTCAAATCTCAAACTCCCAATTTATTCCTTCCCACCACTCTTCCCCCATGGCAACCATAAGTTTCATGTTAAAAACTATATTAATCAATGCATTACTAATAGATTAATTTCCTTTATAAGCCAGTCCTTTGACATTTCTATCAACAGCACTTAAGGAACTGATGGCTCATTTTTCAAAGCAAGAAAAAAACTGGCAGGTCACTAAACTATCTGGAGGGAAAGCATGAGTGTTTGCATCATAAAACTAACCCAACTCATCATGGCCATAACAAGATGAATAAAATACAGTTTCCCAAACCAGTTACAGAAGCAAGCCTTCATCCAGGAATCTAGAGCCTAAAATCAGAGCCCAAAGAGCCAGAGCTCATTGAGAGATGCCTCCACTTCTGGATGAGCCCCACAACCCTGAAAAAGAAATGACTTATTGTATATTAGGAACGTTGCCTGGTAACTGAACACTGTCCTTTGGCAACGTAATTTATGTATGACAGGTTTAACCTGGCTTCCAAAGGGTGACATTAATGATTTTCAGAGAGAAGCAATTCCAACACTGATTGATAGCTGGGGTGTGTAGTCTGTTTCTCCTTCTTATAACCGTTAACTTAATTTGCCTTGCATTACAGTAATTTATATTCTTCTGCTATCCTCATTAATAGATCTGAGCTCCTTGCAGGTAAGGGTTATTTATGTCTTACGCATTTTGCAGCACCTGCAGAGCCTAGTAGAAAGTAGATGCTCAGCAAAGGTCTGCGTCTTTCTATGGGGAGGCCAGTTTGTGTTGGTTGGTTTGTTTTCCTTTGAGTCATAAAGCCCAGAAATGTATGTGAAACACCCAGGACAGTAATAAAATGTAAAACATTGTTTTCAGGAAGAAACAATTAGGCAGTGATTTGTTTTGTAGCTAAGAGATGTTCACACACCTTCATAGTCAAAGATACAAGCTGGGAGTGCTGATAGCCTGGACTCATAGTTGGTATCTCATCAGTACCCATGCGCTTAAGTGTAAGTCATTTGGTTCCCCTGTTCCTGACAGTTAGGTTTAACCCACACCGTAGAGGTGATTAACACTTGAGTATCTTAATCAAAAACAGACTCTCAAGGGATGCTTAGTTGGCATCAAGAACCCACAATTCAGAAGCCTTTCCTAAAAATATCTCAGCTAGCTGCCTTTATCTTCCGTGAACACCAGAGGTGTAAGATACATAAGAGGCATTTAAGATGTGCGGACTACCCGGAAATACTGCTCAGTTGCCTTCACCTTCACAAAAACTAGTAAACCTAACCTGAGGAATGGTGTCTTAGATTTAATGTCCAGAAAGCACCCCTGTTCCACCAATTATTTGAGGGTTTTGTCACTTAATTCAAACTAAAGGTGAAATCTTGCCTCATGGTAGGAACCATGCCTCAAGTGAACCTTGGGAGCAAGGAACTGTTCAAACATTAAAATGACTGAGAATTAAAATTTCATGGAGCACACGACAGCTTTTGCGCCATCTTGCTAAAAATTACATCGGGGTAGAATTTGGTTTGGAAGAGGATACAAAACAAAATTAGAAAAGGGAAAAGGTACATAAAGCAAAGTCTAGAAGAAACCAAGGGCAAACATCCAAAAGTCCTCTCCTGGTAGAGTCACATAGGATGTTCTTAATTGCCCCAGCAGTGAGTTGTGACAACTCACGTGAAATGTCCACCAGAGAAGTTCATTAGAGACTCAGCACCCAATGCTTTTGCTGCAGGCTGGTCGCATAGGCATCTTCTTCCTAATATGCACAATTCCACCTCCCAGAAAGAAAGGAGGGGCTCAGCATTAACCATATTGTCTGAACAGTTTAGGCAGAGAGCCACTCTTATCAGAGAATGCTGGAGACCCTCCCCAAATCCAAGGTCCCAGATGCCAGTCAAGGGTCAAGCTTGCAAGTAGGGCTTTCTTAACTACTGCTGTTTCATCAGGTTTGCTCTGCTAACCTTTTTTTGCATCTCTCTCTTTCCTAATTCTGTTTCTCTATGTTATGCTTATTTACTTTCATATTCCTTCTAGCTTATTCTTCATTCTTAAATTGATTTTTCTTTAATGTACGCTCATTCTTCAATCCCAACATCTTGTTTCAAAGCTCTCCTATTTCTCATTTATTATCACTTGTTATTTCACATTTAATGTCATTTCCTTAAAGTCTTTTAGCTCATTTTGCAGTAGTAGGTTATAGTAGTTTTTATTTCATTTGTGGGCATGTCTCTAAAAAAAAAACAAAAGAACATAAATGCCACAAGAGATCGCTCATATGTGGAATCTAAAAAAAAGAAAAGAAAAGAAAAAGAACATTTGTGGGCATGTCTTTCTGGCAAGCATTCATTTTCTATAAGGACATTATCCTGTCCCTTATTCTTTTTTAAAATAATTTTATATGGGATTTGAATTTGGTTCTTTTTCGAGTGCTAAGTTTTTTTTAAAAATTGAAGTAAAGTCGATTTATAATGTGTTAATTTCTGGTGTACAGCATAGTGATTCATTTATACATATATACATTCCTTTTATCTGCTCTTTCATTCTGGCGATTACAAGGTACTGAATATAGTTCCCCATGCTATACAGTAGTACCTTGTTGTTTATCTATTTTATATTATAGTAGTTAATATCTACAAATTCCAAACTCCCAATTTATCCGTCCCCATCCCTACCCCCCCCCAGTGCTCATTAAGTGAAGATGAGTTTTCCAGAAGTTTTAGAAGATGGCATTGTTTAGGGCAGCTGCTGTAACTTCACACATCTCCCTCTTCTGTTGTTTTTGTATAGCATTCAGTTATGGCACCTGACTTCTGTTTTCATTCATAAAGGATTAAATGCATGAGAACTGCCCTTTAACCACCAACAGTTAGAAAACTGGACAAATTATACATATATATGGATATATTTTAAATGTTTTCAAGCCGTTGGACATGAGGCATATAGAACTGTGATCCTGAGAGAAGAAAAACAAAAGAGGTAAACACTGACTGACTCCTAGGAGAGACCAAGGAAAGAAGAATTTGTGAGACAGAACGCAGAGATGACAGAGCTGCACACTGAGAGATCTGCAGAAGAGTCCCCTCAGGTCTTTGGCCAAGTACTGATTCTTAAATGTGTAGGGGAACTTCCATGAGATCGGGAAAGAAACATAAGAAAACAGTAGGATGAACAATGACCAGGGTTCACACAGAGCTTAGAATAGTTCACTCTCTGACCAATGAGAGTAGAAATACCTCAAAATACTTGGGTATACAGTGGGTAAAAGTCTCAGAAGTGTATTACTCTAGGGGTGGGGTTAAAATAGACATAGCAAGAACTTCCCAGTCTTAGTACTAGTGACATTTTACTGAGATAGATCTTATCTCCACAACAAGAAGTAGCTTACTTATCCAGGATTGATATGATATAGAGTAATTCTTCAGAGAGCCAAAGATAAGGGGCCAGTGAAGGTAGAATACGGAAACGCAAGAAAGTTATTCTGCTATCTTTTTTTTATTCCACTGGTTTTTAAACTAGCATTTTGTTAGAATGTCAATTGCCAGCTTTTAAATCTCTCGACTCTACAAAGTTAATCACTCTTTCAATAAGCTGTCTATGTAAGTAGCTGTCCTTTTTATCTCCAACTTTATGGTCTATGAAATAAGAACTAAAACCAAGAATAAGAAAGATGATGAAGTTTTATGAATGCTTTCAAATACCTCTTCTTAATACTACTTCTGTAGGCAAAACTATAATACATTAGTTGTCATGAATACAAAAATTGACAGAATTCTTAAGCTTGCCATTAATTTTTTGAATCAATTAATATTTTTAATATTTTTCAGCAACAACACGACACCTCATTCTTGATCCAGAACACAGCAGGCTAGCAAAAGCAGGTAAACTTCTGAGTATAGTACTTACCAAATTCAATTTAAGAAATGTTTTTTAATATAACCTCACCCCTTTTTTTATTTTTGAGAAATCACTTACTTGGGTTTGGAAAGCACCTTTTCCAAGTTAAATTCTTTGAGATATCTTATTATGGCAGCCAAAGAGCAAATCACAGGTTTCTCCAACTTAATGATGACAGACAAATTTTGAGAATCTAAAACACAGAGTACATACCTTCATTAAAATTATTATTCATCTTTACTAAAAACAAACTTAAGTAAGACTTAGTTTATTATTATTCACATAATAATTTAGACAGTATCTTCTAAAATTGCCCTTTGGAAAAACATGGAAGATTATAAACATCTAGGGCATGGAAAAAAGGGCATTTTCTGATGGAAGATGAAACTTTTCTGGAGAACAAAAGAGTAATTATTTTCAAAGTGTAAAATGCTCATTCCCTTTGACTCAGAAATACTCCAAAGTGCTTATTTAAATGTGTATATAAGGAAGTGAGTTGAAAAATCTCTTGTCGTAGGAAAAAATGAGAAACAACCTAACTGAACATCATTAAGTACATCCAGATGATTGTGCACCTCTAAAGGGAATAACTTACAGCTATCTGTACTGATATGGAAAACTTTCCATAATATATTGAATGAAGAAAAAAAAAAGTTACAAGATCACTCTCATCTCTCAGCAGGAATATAGCAACAGCTCTCCATCTGGTCTCCCACCTTTATCCCTGTGCCCTACAGGGTATTCTTAACACAGCAGCCGAGGGAACCGTTAGACTACTTTGCTTACAAATCCTTCCACATTTCCTAACTCACTGAGAGAACCAGCTCAAGTCCGTAAAGGTCTGTAAGGCCCTCCACAACCTGCCTTCCAAATCCTTTATTCTCTGTGCTCACCTTCTAATATTCTCCTCCTTAGCTCCTCTGTCCCAGCTCCCAGGCTCGTTGATATTCCTTAAACATGACAGGTACTTAAGGTACCTACTGCTGTCTCTGCCTGAAACACTGTTGCTTCACCTGTCCTTATGGTTTTCCCCCTTAACTCCTTTAATCCTCATTCAAATCTTTGTTCAAGTGCCATTTTCTCAGTGAGGCTTTCCTTCACTACTTTATTTAAAAATTCACCTCCTCCCTGCCTATCTCTATGGTACTTAGCAACTTTAAACACTATTTTATTGTACATCTCCTCCCTCTAGGCTGTAAACTCCAGAAGGGCAGGAATTCTTGTCCGTTTAATTCCTCATCATACACACAATGTCTGTGTAATTCCTTATCATATACACAATGCCTTGAACAGGCATTCAATAAAAATTAGCTGAAAGAATAAATCCAAGTTATATTAAATAAATATATAGAACTATGTATGTATGTTTACGTGTAGATTTGCACATTAAGAATTCCTAAGGATTCGAGGGGAGGGATTTTCACTTTTTTCCTTCTATACAACCATGTTTTGGCTTTTTTTGCAGTAGGTATTTATTACTTTGAAGAAAAAAATTACAAAATATCCTCCACAAATCTGTAATATAAAATATATTAATTTCAACTATAGCTTTCTGTAAAATCAAGGTGTAAATGAAGAGTAACCATCAGTCTCCTACTGTGAATTTCATCTTTTAACTTTCTAGCTCTGATCCCCAGGAAACCTGATAAAGATGAAGTGCCAGTGTTTTATGAGGTAGCACTATGTATGGTAAAAATGACCTGAAATCAGTCTATTGCATCTGGACTAGGATGAATTATAAATACCTGATTCTAGAATTTTGGCCGTCTCTGAGTACACCGATTCTTTGAATTTGGCATGTCCTTTGGAGAAATCCCAGCACGAGATATGACTTTCTGTAGGGCATGGGGCTTCTAAGCCAGGGCAGATCCTGCACCCACCTGATGAGAGTCTGCTTTCTTTGCAACTGAGCTGTCACTAGAGGAGGGAGGGGAACTTAAGCACCCAAAGGCTCTGCGGACCGCTGCATAGACTGCAGAGGACTCCTCCCGCTAAGAGCAACAGCGCCCTGCAGCAAGCTGCATTGTGTCCTACACCCTTCTAAGTGAGTCGGGTACCAAGAGTGGCTTATGGTCATCTCCTGATTTAGTCTGAGCTTTAACTGAGCACAAGCTGATGATCCCTTGGTGACAGCACAGATGGGTGTCTAAGTGGGTTACACTCTCAGATACTTAATTCTATTTGGCCAAAGCAACATGAAATGAAAAGAGATGGGGATAGAAATGCCAACAAGACACTGATGCCTGAGAGGGAGCTGGGGGAAGCTGATCTATTTAGGGTCTTATGGTGAAAGCTCTGCAGCAGGTGACAGGGGATAAAAGTGGACCTGAACATAAGCTGGACTGGAAGGAATGAGGGGTACAGACCAAATCAAATAGATACCTGGCTGAGGAAATGTGAATTAGACAAACAATGGTGATGCAACAAACTAAGACCCTGTCACTAATGTTCTGATATTTTAATTCTGGCCATCAACTTTTGGAATTGCTGGCTTTCACTAGGAGATTTATACCGACATTTTGTAAAACTGCAAGGGAAATAATGGGCCATCTTTTAAGAGAAGCAAAAAGGAAGGATTTTCAGTAACTAACTTGTTACACTCCAACGAATATGTCAAAATATCAAGTTATGAAATGATCGTAACTACAAAGAAGCTGCAGTGGTGCTTTTTATGAGTGCAAAAACAGTGATTTCTTCTCTCTACTTCTTCCATTTTTTAATTGATAATTATCTAGTTTTCATTAAATTGAAAATCAAACTTGCATCTTTATCCAAATCTCAACTCAGTTAAATCTGAGGACATAAAGCTAACAAGTGTAAAATATTTACCATTAACGTCATCTCCATCTTGTGCATAAAAGTCTGTAACCTCCTGGAAAGCATGGCTGTATTCAAAATACATGTTAGCCATCCTTTCTACTCGAATTCTGTCATCCCGCACACTGAAAGAAAAATATGAAAACATTAAAGACGATGATCCATAACCTCGAACTTTTGGTATTTAGGCCTTGGCCTGACGAAGGAAAAAAAAAAGACTCATTCTTTATTCTCTCCCAAGTTGAAGAAAAAGTGAGAAAGAACTAAGGCTTCCCTGTCAAGAGGCCACATTTCATAAAATATAATTATTACTTTTACAACTGGTATCCTACATTATCAAGCACATTGTGAATACTTTATATATATTGTT